AACCAATCAACAAACAATTGATCAACAATCAACCAGTCAACACTCAACCGAGCACTCGGCCACAAGCAACCAACCCCTGAGGAACGAAGTCCACGAAGCGCTGCCTGACGGCGACGTCCTCGGGCGGCGGCGCGGCGGCGAGGTCGAGCAGACGCGTGCTGAGCCACGATGCGTGGCGCTGCCCCTCGAACACCAGGCTGTTGCCCTCCGACGAGCAGTGCTCCTGGGGGAGGGGGGCGGAAGGCGGCGGAGGTGAGAGGGAGCCGTAAGAAAGGAGCGGGGTTTGGAGCAAAATGGGAGAGACTTGATACAAATGATTCGGATAAAAACTGGCGGAATTCCTTCGGACGAGCGGTATTCCTGGGGGGGGGGAGGGTTCGATAGAAAATGAGAGGGATTTGGGTCAAAATGAGAGAGACTTGGTACAAAATGGAATGGTAGTTGATACAAGATGAGAGAAATTTGGACAATAAGGAACTTGGACCAATATGGAACGGAATTGCAACCATTGTTCTTGTTGTTGTTGTTGGTTACTTACAAGTCAGACCTCTGTTCGGAAATTGCATTAACTTTTAGAGCGGGGCCTTGGTGACTCGGTTCTTTGAAGATAAGAAACAATTACCATATTTCAAACAGAGTATTATTGAATTCCAAATTGGATTTAAAATAATGATAATAATGATACTAATAATTTTAATAATTATAATAATAATTATAATAATTATTATAATAATTATTATAATAATTATAATAATAATTATAATAATTATAATAATAATTATAATAATTATAATAATTATTATAATAATTATAATAATAATTATAATAATAAAGACAATAATAATAATAACAAGAACAAGAACAAGATCAACAATAATAATAATAATAATAATAATAATAACAATAATAACAATAATAACAATAACAAATAATAACGATAATATTAACAGTAACAACAACAGCAACTGGGAAATCAAACTTAACGAAATTGAAGACCAAAGCGACAGAATTTAGCATTAACATCCAAAACATATTCACTTCTCAGCGACAAGAATCTCAACATTGACCAAATCAACAAACAGTTCAATGACATAATAAAGGAAGCTGCACTTGAAGTAGCCAGTAAGAACGTCAAACAAAGCTCCAGTAAGCACTCGATGGAAACTAAAGAACTTATGCAAAAACGTAGGGTCATGAAAGCATCGTCAAATAGGGACAAAATAGAATTAACTGAACTAACAAAAAATATAAATAAAAAGAAAAGAGAAGTTGTACGGAAGTTCAATACTCAAATAATAAATGAAACAGCGATCGCAGGTACCAGCACGAAAACAGCTAAAATGAGACTTGGAATAGGGAGAAATCAAATATAGGCAATACAGAAACCAGACAGAGAAGTAACATATAATAAGAATGAAATCATAAGCGTGGTGGAAAACTTTTACAGGGATCTATACAACGCAAATGAACAGCCACGGATAGAAGCGAACGCGGTAACTAGAGAGGTACCTAACATCACCACAGAAGAAATAAAGAGAGCGCTTAAAGGCATGAAGAGAGGGAAAAAACAGGTAAAGACGGTATTAGCATAGACCTTATAATAGACGCGGGAGAAATTGCAACAGTGAAACTAGCCAATCTTTTTAACAAATGCCTTCTCAATGGAAAAATTCTGAAAGCCTGGAAAAATGCAACAATTATTTTGATTCATAAAAAGGGGGGCAGGAAGGATCTAAAAAACTACCGACTCATAAGTCTCCTTTCAGTTACTTACAATATGTTCACTAAAATCATTGCAACTCGCATTTCTGACAGTCTGGATTCTAACCAGCCTAGAGAACAGGCAGGCTTCCGCGGTGGATTCTCAACAACAGACCACATACACACGCTTACCCAAATAAGAGAAAAAATAAACAAATATAGGAAACCCTGTGTATGGCATTCTTCGAGGGTATCAAAATTGGGGACGAATACCTAAACAATCTAAGATTTGCAGATTGTTCTCTTCATTGAATCCACAAATGAAATGCAGCAACTAATTAATGATCTGAATAGAGAAAGCCTGAAAGTCGGACTTAAGATGAACAAAAAAAAGACTAAGATCATGTTCAACAGTAGAGTTCAATTCGAACAGACACATGTTCAAGGCGAAGCGTTAGAGGTGGTAGACAAGTATATATACCTAGGGCAACTTGTACAGACAAACACATCTAGCGAAGAGGAAATTAAGCGACGCATAAACAGTAGCATACTAAAAGGCTCCTTGCCATTATGTTTAAAAAGAAAAGTCGTTAACCAGTGCATCCTCCCAGTTATGACCCATGGATCAGAAACATGGACTACAACCAAATTACTGGAGAGGAAACTAATAAGTGCCCAGAGAGGGATGGAGAGGTTTATGCTCAGATGAGGGCGACGTGGATCAGGGAACAGACAAAAGTGAAAGATATACTCGGGAGCATCAAAAAGAAAAAAATGGCAATGAGCAGGTCATATATGT